CGTCCTACGTAGCAAATTGGGATTAAACCAGTGGATAAAGTGCAGCTAGTGTCCCAGTGGTCGATAATTGAACACGTTCAAGAGCTGAAGAACGTTAAAGAGAAATAAAAAAGAACACCTGAAAAAAAAAAAGCAGAAATTTTCAAAATCACCGTCTCTTCCAACTGCTTAATCAGTGCCCGTAATGGCTGCCGCCGTGAAAGTGCACGGGCCTCCACTCTCAACCGCCGTCTCAAGGGTTCTGGCCTGCCTTCTCGAAAAAGATGTTTCTTTTCAAGTCCTTCCTGTCAACATGGCCAAAGGCGAACACAAGAAGCCCGAATACCTCAAGATTCAGGTAGAAAATGTTCCTCCTATGTTTCTTTGTTTCCCAGAAACAGTATATAATTTGGAGTATTCTTACAATCTCCACAAGGATTCTTTTAGTACTGTTTGAGTTGCCTTTCAATTGTTGCTTTTCTTGATATTTGGTGGTTTGCGTTTTTTGTCGGCAGCCATTTGGGCAAGTGCCAGCTTTTCAGGATGAGAGCATTACTCTCTTTGGTAATTTCTTAACTTTCTTTTCTTTTTGGCCTACTTGTGTTTTTATGCCTTGAGTACATTGTTGATGGTTGGGGGAAAATGAAAAGACGACGCATCTACAGCAGCATTTAGTAGTCTTGAGCATTCTACTTATATTTCCATTTGTTGAATTAGACAGTTTGTTTCTGGCGTTTTTTATTTGTAGTTGAGACTCCCATAGCTAAAATTGTGAAATTTCACCCCAATTCCCTACTGATTCTTCCCATCTACAATTGTTATTCGAGTTGAGTTTTTCGCAAATACAACTCGATTCAGTTCGAGCCAAGCTCGATTAGCTTCTCAAATGAGCCAAGCGAGTTTGTTCTTAAACATCTAGTTTTTTATGTACTTGTTCAAATTTTCTATGGGTTTTAAATGAAATGGGCTGGCCAAACTTGTTCTGATACAGCTCTTTTAAGATTTTAGATTTATGAAACAAGCTGAGCTTAGCAGAGCTTTCACGTGCTTAAACAAGATGAACCTGTTCATTAAACGATCCGAGCCAGATAAGTTATTAAATGAGCAGAAGCTCGAACATGCTCGACTCGAATAAACACCCCTATTCCTACCCCATGCCTTCAGTTATGGGGTTAACTAAAATTCAACCTATTTTGTTCTTTTGGAATGAAATTTCTGAAATGATTGGGTGGTTATTTGCTTGTTATAAGACTCAAATTGTTTTAGCCGCTTATGCCATCATAAATTCTTGGGAAGTCCTTCCGAGAAAAAGGTCGCAAACAAATGAAACACGTTGTTTAAGTATTGTCTTGGGTACCCATACTTTCTCCCGTGTGAATTATCGTATTTAGACTCATCAGTTTTTCTCCGTTGTCTTTGTGAAAAAAACAGAATCTAGAGCCATATCAAGATACATATGCGACAAATACGCCACGCAAGGGAATAAAGGGCTATACGGTACAAACCCTTTGGAAAAAGCGTCCATCGACCAGTGGTTAGAGGCCGAGGGACAAAGCTTCAACCTGCCAAGCTCTGTGCTCGTTTTTCAACTTGCCTTTGCACCTATAATGAAAATCAAGCAAGATGAGGATCTGATCAAGCAAAACGAAGCTAAACTCGTCAATGTTCTTGACGTGTATGAGAAAAGGCTTGGAGAGAGTAGGTTCTTGGCTGGTGACGAGTTCACGCTAGCCGATCTTTCTCACCTGCCCAATGCACATTACTTGGTGAGTAAGACTGATAGAGGGGAGCTTTTTACGTCGAGGAAAAATGTCGAGAGGTGGTGGGGTGAGATCTCAAGCCGTGAGTCGTGGAAAAAGGTGGTTGAGATGCAGAACTCAAGGGCTCCTAGAAGTGCTTGAGTTTTATAACTTTCAAATTTGGCTTTATTTGGGATTTTGTGGTTGAGTTACGGATCTTATGCCTGTGTTTTGCGATGTTTTATAACTTTCAAATTTAGCATTATTTGGGATTGTGTGGTTGAGTTTATGGATCTTATGTCTGTGTTTTGCGATACCTGTTTTTAGTGTTTTTCATCTTTTAACTGAATCTATACTTGTGAACTTGATGGTGTCAATTTGACATAGGTGTCATGTTCGTGTCGATGTCACTGGAGAAAAAGATGTGATCCTTTGCTAGGTTTGAAGGAGCAAAATTAGCAAATGGTTACTGCATTAAGCTTTATGAGAAATGGATACTAAGATTTGTCTTTTTTTCTGTATTTGGTTTGTTTTGTTTTTGTTTTTACATTGATATAGTATAGAGAGCTTGGTCCTAAACCAAGAGTCTTATATAGTTCGGTTTTAGACTGGAGTTTCCTTAGCTCGACTTAGAGATAATAGAATCGGAGTAGGTCCCTAAAAGCTAAAGGTCAAGTTATCGACCTAAGGCCTAGGCAATGTGAATCCTTGGATAGCGAGTCGTTACTAAATCAGTATATCTAGATCTAGAAGGCAATGTATCACCCAAAGGAGTGACCTAACGAGTTGGTAGAGGCGTGAACCGCGTGAGACCTAATAAAAGTATGATTGTGAAGATCTAAAGATCTAAAAGATGAGGAACTAGATATATCACAAGAAGTTATGTGTATATTTGGTTTCCTTAGGAGGATCTGAGTTCTTGTGGGACAAGGTGATGATCCTCTTATCAAAGTAGAAGTATGATTATCATTATACTAAGGTTTTATTCATCATCTCAATCATAAATTATACTCAACAGAGGGACTGACTTGATCATCGGAGGCTCTATGTCGGGAATGCTCGAGATGCTTTTTCAGGTAATTGGATGATAAGGCTAAGCAAGATTCAAAAATCTAAAGAGAATCAGTCGTACAAACAAGAGTTATTTGGTAGTTCCCTATCAAATTGGCGCCATCTTTGGAGAAATCTCAGTTCTTTACGGTTAAGCGGGACTCTGTTCTTTTACAAATCATACGAATCAGTGACCAACATTAATGGCGGAGAAGTAAAGAATCAACATGGAGAAAAGTTACGACGACACCTCACTGTGACCTACATCAATGGCACGCAATGTCTTCGCACTTTAACTTTTCACTTCAAAAAGTGTGAAAGGTTATGCGAATAGACCTCATAACTATCGCATATCCTGATATTCCCCGCACAGTAATCGTATATTCATCGCATAATGTCTTCTCACTTTCTGTATTGAAAAAAGTTATCTTATCAACAAATGGTGTGAAAGACTTAATACATTTTCATAGTGGGGTGAAAAATACTATTTACGGTAAAATTTGTGTAAATGAGAAAGTAGTTTTTTTGACCAAAAAAATATTAGGTGCTAAAGTTGAAAACTCAAATAGTCGTCGTCATCATCATCATCAGGGACGGATGTACATTAGGCTTGGGCTGGGCTGAAGCCCAGGCCTGTTACTTTTTTGTACAGTTATTAACTTTGATATATTTTTTTTTATTTTATCCTAGCCCAGCCCAATCAAAATAAATGAAAAACCAGGCCCAAACATGCAACCTAACTTCCTAAATCCTAAGCCTGCTCGTGCATAAGGAAGAGTGTAAGAATTTTATGTCTCTTCCCTCTCGATTCCCTATCCACTCTCCAGTCTCCATTGTTGCATTTTCTACAATCTCTGTGGACTGCATTCACTCACCGGCCGCCGTATTTCGCTGTCAATCATCGACCAACCACCACTCGGCCCTCCGATTTAGAAGGTACCAATTAAAAAAAAAAAAGAAATTATCTTTACTTTTACAAACCCTAGATGGCTATATTATGTATTGCGAAGGGAAAAAAATAGCTTATGAGATTTGATTATTGTGTGAGACATCCATAATTGGGTGATTGTTCTAGAAAGAAAAAGAGAAATTTAAAGCCTGAAGCATTCAAAATATTACTCTCTGAGATTTTTAATTTTTGTTTTCTGGATATTGAGCAATTAGGTGTTCCCGTGTTGAGATTCTGATATTTGCTTCAAAGATGCATCCACATTTGATCTGATTATGAACCAGAAATTGTGAATTTATTTGCGAGCAGCTCAAATATTGTACCAACACATTGAATTATGCAGTTAATAATTAACAGAGAGTGGTAGATTGTAAGTGTATGTTATGTTAACTAGATTGACCCATCTAGTTCTGACATTACCGGTTTCTACTTCTACAACCGAACGAGCCTTTTCGCCATGAAGCATGTGAAGACAGCACTTCGTAATAAGATTGGAGATGATTTTCTCGAAAATTGTTTGATTCTCTTAATCGAACAGGAGTTTACTTATATTATAAGTATAAATTCTATAATTGATGAATTTTATTCTGTAAAAGCTCGTTGAGCACAACTCTAGTTAATATTTAAAGAAAAAATATTATGTGATTTTTATGAAAATGAATATTTAAAATTCTAGCCCACCACTTTTGATTTCTGGATCCGTCCCTGATCATCATCATCATCTGTTGTCCCTGTATAGAGTTGATAATTCATAAGTTTGTCTATCGATTTATGGTGGAACGTAATCTTAGATGTTAAATTTTTATGTGTGGTGCAATTCATGTAGCTATTGAATAAACTTCAAAATTTATAAAACACTTAATCAACTTGAAATATTAATACATTTCAAATTTTAATTATTTTTTTATTTATTATCAGTCTTCATAAATAATATACCACTAGTGCTGAGCCCGTGCGATGCACGGGGTGCACAATTTTAAGGTTATTTATCCAGGCTTATAATTATATACATAAATAAAGAAAAATATACGGGATATATATAGTACGTGACCCGTGCGAAGCACGAGATATATTTATTTGGTAAATATTATATTATAAGATGCAATATTCAATAAAAGTTTATAATACACAAAAGAATTGTACAATGTTCAATAAAAGTTTTATAATATTCAAGTGGAGTCTTAAAGTCTCTTGTACATTAAGACTACTGACAAAATAATATTTTAATCAATGAGTTTCCTTTCCTTGTAGTCAAATTGTGAATGTGATTTGAGGAGTACAACAAATCGATATATAGCTGACTTGCATTTTTCATTGTAGTTTTTTTTTTTCTTTTTTCTTTTTTATAATGAATTTAAAGATATTCTAAAATATAGTAAAAGTTAATTTTTTTATTACAATTAGGAATTTTACTAAATATAAACTCTCAATCTATGGTGTTAATCAACGTTTAAGTCTACAAAATTAGGAATTTTTACCTCTTTTAATCAACGTTTAAGTCTAAAAAACAATAGAGTTATTATAAGTTTTTTTTCTACATCTTTTAAAATATTAAATATGAGCATGTTAGGGCTAGCTTGTAAAATAATTAATATATTATCTCACTAAAACATTTATAATAATAAGAATTTAATTTTAGCATATAAATTTATCCCTTGATATAAGAGAAAGTAACAGTTTTACTTATTGTTGTTCACCATATAATATTTAATTATTATTTTATTATATAATAAAAAATAAATATTGTTAAATAGTGTAGTAGAATTATTATAAAATTATATGATTTTTGTTTACAATATGAATTTAATATTTTTTTATGATTTGATAATATAAACAAATCTATACTTAATTTTGACAAATAAAACAAATAAATATTTTAGTAAGTATTTAATGTATATACTAAATAGGAATATATTTGGTATAATCAAATACCAAATATAATCAAATAAGTCAAAGTGTACATTTTTATTTGGTATTTTATTTTTTTATTATTAAAATCTTTTTATTATACTTACCTTTTTAAAATAAAATAAATAAATAAATCAATTAAATAAATAAAATATTATAATACCAAAATAGTAATGGCATTTAATGCAGATGATTTTTCTGGATAGTAAATGTAGTAAACAGAATCTTCTTTTATATAAGTATAGATATAGATTGTATAATATGGAAATAGTAATGTAATAAATGTTGTTGACTTTTCTTTATACTAAATCTGATAAATGGTATACCTTTTAATATAAGTATAGATGTTAGTTACCTTTTGATGATCTTAGATGTGGCATTGTTTTTGTATATGTGAAATAACTTTTTGATTATTGATAATTTAGTATTTATATCGCATATATAAAATATTTATATCTACATTTTTAAATAAAAAATGTCTATGAATCCAAATTTAAAAATAGAAAAAGTATAGAATCGATGAGTTAAATATATTTATATATCAAAAAATAATATATATATATATATATATAATTTTGGCTAAAAATAATCCAAATGCACAATTCTATCGGACACAAGACCTACAAATAGGGGTGAGCAAAACCGAAAAACCGAACCGAACCGCTGCATTCGGTGCGGTTCAGTTCGGTTTTCAAGGGTTCGGTTTGCGGTGCGGTTAGAAATTTGAAAAACCGTATCAGATTTGGTGCGGTTCGGTTTAGTATCCGAAGGGTGCAGTTTTAACCGAACCGCACCGAATATGTAAGAATGCAATTTATTTGTACTGTTGGGCCATAGAGTAGAAAGGCTGACAAGCTTTTGCTTTTCTTGGGCTTTGAGTTTGGAGAGTTTGGGCCGTTTGGCCATTGATAAAGAAATGACAATGACCATTAATAATTAAAAAAAAAATAATTTACGATTAACAAAACTTAAAATTCTACTTATTGAATCTTGCTTGGTCTCAAGAAAAAAAAACAAAAGGTCTCGTCAACTCAACTCAGATAGTCACGCTCTTTTTATCTCTCTCGTCACTCTCCCTCATGCTTAGCCTCTTCCGCCGCGGCTGCTCAACCTCCGGCGTTGTCGTCACCAGCCTCAATTAGGTCAGCTCTCAATCTATTTTTGTCTTCTTCTTTCATTTTCCAATTCTCCCTCTTTCTTCTTTGTGTGACAGAGCCCTAATTTTGTCTTCAAATTGGTTTATTTTGGGTTTTTTTGTGAGTTATTTTTGGTTCAACCGAAATTGCACCGAACCGAACCGAAAATTTCGGTGCGGTTTTGGTTCGATTTTTCTTCACAGCTCGGTGAGTTCGGTTAGAAAAAATATAGGGGGTGATTGGATATGAATTCAACTAGTAAAAAACTAGTTTTTTTTTAACTATAGTTAAGTTTGAAAAAAAGTAGTATGGTTAGTTGTTAGTGGATATATTAAGATAATATTTAAATTAAAATAATTATAGTTGATTTGATGTAAAAGTAGGAGAAAATGATTGGAAGTGATGGTTAGTTAAAATTATGTGAGTGTGTGAATAGTGAATTAAAGTTGATGTGATGTGTAATAATGATTGTTTGATATTATTTAATTATATTGATAATATTGGAGATAATGAAGTTGAGTTAAAGTTGAGTTAAATTTGAGTTTTGAGTGAGATATTTACTGTAGAAAATATAAACAATCACGCCCATACATTTTTCGGTTTTCGGTTTTTTCGGTTCGTTGCGGTTTTTCACACCGATGCTCATCCCTACCTACAAATTAATATTGATCCCTTATGAAAAGCGAAAATCAATGGGGTAACAGAAATGATTATTTTTTTTTATTTATTTTTTTCTCTGTGCCTTTACTGTTGATTCTAACGTAGAATTTAACGGAAGGTACTGAAGCCGATTGTCCCAACTCGCACACCAACGGGTACAAAAGGCACAATTCGGCAAAACTAAACGAAAATAATTCCTCAGAATTTCAATTAAGAGATGGATAAATATACGCAGAGTAATAAAGCAGAAACAGAGGCGGCCAGAACCAGCACCGCCGCGCCGGAGTACAACAGCAGCAGCAGAAAAAAAGCTAGATTAGAATCAACTTTGACGGCGCTTCTCGGCGATCCGATTCTTTCCGACGTGCCCAAGAAGCCTTCTTTTTCCGATGTGGACACTCTCATCAGCTTAGAGCTGGGCAGCGCCATGCGCATTACAGTCCTCAAATTGGACGCCACATCCTTTGGTAAACACTACATATTTTTTTTTCTGCTTTTCATTTTCACAAACACCTTGTGAGCGCCAAATATAGAGATAGTGGTTTTGATCTTTATTTAATTTTGTGAGGGGTGAAGAGGTCGTGGTGATGAATTCTGCAACGGTGAAGGACTTGAAATTGGCGATTAATAAGAAGGTGAACGATGCGGAGGAGTCGAGCATGGGTCATCGCCATATTTCTTGGTATTGTTCTGAATGTGCATTTTGGTTTTTCATTGGGACATATTCTGCAGTTCAGTCTTGTAATTGTTGTGTAATGTTGTTGTTTTTCCCCCTTGTCGAATGTGAAGAGAAAAAGAAAAAAGGATTTTGGAATGTAGATTGAACTATGATGGGAAAAAAATGGAATTATGCCAAAGTTTCATAGATGTTCCTGAAGTACTGAGAAAATTGCCTTCATTGATCTTGCAGGAAGCATGTGTGGGCAAACTTCTGCCTTTCATGCCACAATGAGAAGCTACTAGATGATAATGCTTCACTTCACGATTACGGACTGAGGAACAATTCTCAAGTATGTTATTTTGGGATTTTTGGTTCTACATTTTCTACTAGAAAATTATAAGCTTTCTGCATGTGGCTTTTCTGTAGATTCTTCTTACATGACTAATGACGCTAAAGCTAAAATTTTGAACTGATACAGCAACAATACATTAGTTGATCTTAAATTTGACCATCAATTATAGTAATACAGTTTCGTGGGGTCTTCCAGTTATACTGTGCGAATAGAACTTTTTCGATCCTCTGCAGGTACAGTTTGTTCCATATGTTGTCTCAAGAGCTTCCCGGAAGCACACTAAGAGCAGAAAACATCGTTTCTTTCATGGTCTAAACAGGAAATCCTGATCAAGAAATTCTGCCAATTAATATTAACTATTAACAGGTGCCCATGTGTTAAAGCTTTTCCGCCTTTAAATGATCAATTCCTACATACATCGTTTTGTTCCTTTTGAGAATGTTGCCTTTTGTGTCTCATTGTCATCATTTTATACGATAAATTTTCCAGGTTACAACATATTGTAACAACACGAGAGTATAGCATATGATAAAGAGTTGTTAACTGGGTTTTCATTATATGCGTATTCTAAACTAGGTATTATTTTGTCAAAAACTTCATCTTACAGTTTACGAATCAAGATTTGAAATTCAAGGGCATGTTCTGTGTGATAAACTACAAACAGGCATACTTTACTATTAAAAAGATCTTTTTGCAAACCAAGACATCTCATCATCAGGGGAAAATGAAAATAAGTCATCACCAAAAGGTCTATTTCTAAAACCACTTGTTCTCAGAAATCTAAATAATCATCAGCTAACATGAAATCTACTCAATTCAATCCCAATCCACTTTCTGAATCTCCTACTTTACTAGAAGTTTTTCTTTTCCTGTTCAACTGCACATCATCTCGCCATAGTTCAACAGATCTGCCTCGTCTTCACTCTCTCCTTATACTCCTTCATTTCCTTCTGGTACCTTTCCTTATCCTTCACTCCATAGTTCTGATAAACCTGCAAGTTTTCATCCCTAAATAATTAAAAAAGGAAAAAAAAAGGTTATTTAAGTACAACCTTCAAAAAGTTCAAGAACTCTTAAAAGTTTACCTCCCTCTCCTCAAGCGGCAGATTATTCCACGCCTCGCCTATCATTTTCGTGAACTGCCTCTCCTTGTTGGGGTAGAGAGACTTGAGTTTTGCATGCTTTTCTGCAAAAAAGAAATTGTACCCACTCCTATTGGGCTTTGGGCGGCCCGGATCGCCAGCACGTCTTTTTCTGGCCCTACGGGCCGGTGGATTAAACTGTGGAGTGTAAGGTATGATGGAGGTGCATATGGGCTGGGCCGAATTAGAGGAACTCGGGCCCGGATGATAGAGCACGCCATTAAGCGTCTCATTTCCAAGTTTAACTGACACTAGGTAACCGCAGTCGAATTTCCCGTCGATGGTTCCCATTGCTTGGAATGAAGGAGTACCTTTACAAAATATAAATAAAATAAATTCTGGGATTTTTTTATTAGTCTAGCCTAATCAATAGATAAGCATATTACTTTTTTGAGACTATGCTTATTTTTTATTAAAATATGTTGATCAGTTAGTCTAAGTGTTAGACCGTCTTATATAATGTAATTATATTGTATTTGGAAAATTTCTGAAGATATATAATTTGTTACCAAAAAATAAATAGGCATGTCATATCATCAGTAACATCCACATCAGAAATAAGTCGTAGATAATACATATCGCCTCTAAAAACAAAAAGCAATTTTAGTTGGCCAAATTCAAAATTACCCAATGCCGCTACTCCATATAGGAGTTGAACAATAACGTTTGTGGCAGAAGAAAATTAAATGATATGTGGTTCCTATTTCATTAAATAATTATCAACAACTTAGAACTTCAATTAATGCAATAACACTTTAATTGGTCCAAGATTTTCCACTCTGGATAATACCCTGCACAAAATATTTCCACACCGAGATTGCAATTTTTACCATTTATGGGTCCACCATAGAAACACCCAAAATGGACTTATGTATAGTACAATTTTATTTTTGTTGGTTCACTTATAAATAAATAAAATAAAATAAAAAAACAAAAAGAGAAGCAAATGGTGAGGTGTACCTGTTGGAGCAAGCAGCTTGAAGAAGTAAACGAGTTCGTAGCGGTGGAGAAGAGTGGAATAGTGTTTCCTTAAAGCGTACGAAGCGCTTGTTGTCGTCCGGCAAAAATCAAACACCGCGCTTATTTCTCTCCATTTTTTATCCCTCACCACCTGCATTTTTTTATTTCAAAATTAAAATTAGGTGAAAATGGAAATTTAATGGATACATACATATATATATATATATATATATTAATTAAGAGATAATTGAATGACCGATTTAACCTTATCGAAACCACCCCTTTTAGTAACCTCCGCGTACTGTACATGCAGGTTGAGTTCCTTCCCCCCAATTACTGGAATCCTACAATAATAATAATAATAATTAATTAAAAAAAAGAGTGGGAAAAGTAAGAGAGAAAAAAATAAAAGGCTTACTGGAATTTGGAGCCCATGGCAAAATGGAAGCTTCTGAGGGTGGGATCGTTGACCACGTCTTCATGTGAGGCCAACGGCACAGGATAATAACAACCCTTGTGCGGGTCGTTTGCGGCTGAGACAGAGTTTTCCGGCGACATTGCCTCGCCTCCGGCCACCGGGAAAAGGGGACTGACAAAAGAAACAAAGTTAGTTGGCTGGCAAATTAAAGACGAGTAAATAAATGGGGAGAGAGAGATAGAGAGAGAGAAATGGTTAAATTAAAGTGAGAAATGCCAAATATATTTGGTGTTGATAAAAGCATAGAAGATGAGATGAGATGAGATGGATTCCAAAGATAAGCTGGTAATTAAGGGGGAGTTTATTAGACCCATGGATTTTGGCCGCGTGTTAAGAGTGCTTTTCATAAGACAACGGTTATTTAGCAGTGGGTTTTCACCTTTTCTTTTTTGGCAAACTCCGAAATTAATAAACTAAAATGTAAAACCTCTTCTAATCTCTTTAAAAAAAAAAAACTCTCATAATCTCTATCTAACTCGACTCAATTCTATTAGAATAATTTTTTTTTAATGAGCAAGTGTGTTTTAACCAAACCTTATTCTTAGTAAGCATACTTTTTTTTAAAACAATATTGTTAAATTAAAATGTCATATTTTATAAAACAACGTAAATGTATTTTTTCAGCATACTTAATAAAGGATAATGTATGTATTTTTATTAAAAAAAAAAGTAAGAGAAGTCGATCCACTAACATTTAGGATGCCTCACACATAAATTAGTGATTTTTTATTGTCCAACTTTGTATACTTATTTAGTAGCTGATATATGTTTACAAAGTTTATAAGTAGTATTCATTAGAATATTTTGGAAAATGTTTAAGTCATATAGTCCATAAGTGTTTTATTATAATATAAAAATAAATTAGGTATAAATTATTGAATGTTGTTTGTGTTTTTATTTACTTTACAAAATAAATTAAATATATTTGTGGAAATAAGAGATGGGATTTTGAAATTGTATTATTGCCTCAGATCCATTTGTTTAATTAATTTTCCTTTTCTTGGATTTGAATAAAATAAAGATGAAGAAGATATGTTCAAATTTAGGGAAAATCAAAAATAAAAATGTGAAAATATGAATTCTGGATATAATTGCTCTCTATATATTAATGCATAATGTTCCGATGTTACTTGTCTATTTCTTGTTGAATTCTATGTGTCGAATTTTTTTGCTTCTTACTCTTATTTGTTTGCTTGTGTTAAAGACTTAAGTAGTCCGACTATTAAAATTATGTTTGCTTGTGTTGAAGTAGTACAACTTTTAAAATTATAAAAAATTGACAACTTAAAGTATAAATATATTTTAAATGTTAATAATTTTTATATTTATTATCATATATATATATAGAAGTGCGCTCAAATGAGAATGAAACACAGTGAAAGAAATAAGAATGATTCTGCACCATTGGATTCATCCCATCAATGGACATGATCAAGTCAAACTTTCATAAATAATGGTCAATCATTAATGGTAATATGGTAAATAAGTAGTAATATTATGGTCAAATATATTTAATTGACCACTATTTAAGGATAATTTGGTCAATATAAATAACAATTCAAGTGGGACCCATATCCACCATCCAACAACAAATAAATACTCCCCTACCACATACTCACGTGACATACCCCACCCACCAACAATTCTCTCTCTCACACACGTCTACACAAAATTGATACACACATCTCTCACACACAAGATCGTCGGCTTCAACCATCCACCACCATCACGCCTCCTGCCGCCGGCAAGTCACTCACCGCCGCAGCCTTCACTTTCACGAACATACGATCAGTAGCCACCACCACTGTGCCGCCACCCGCCCCGCCGGCTTCCACAAACTGCCCCGACTACTGCCACCACCCCGCCCAGCCCGATGGTCCCGTCACAGCCGTCGTCCGACCCGCAGTCGCCGCCACCAGTCCACCGCGACCGCACCAGATGCGATGGCAACCACCAACACCGTCCAGCACTGCCACCGCCGTCAACAGCCCGACCAGCCCTGCATCCGGCGATCTCAGCACGCGACCGCCGGCGTCTTGCTCACCGATGAGCTCACCGCTCCAGAAGATTAGTGGTCGACGACGACAGCGTCGTGATGTCGGGAGTGGTGGACAGGAATCTGCATAAGGAGGAGCTGCCGCCGGCGGGAGGAGATTCGACGGAACTCGATTCCGGCGATGGCGGCAATTGGAGAGAGCTAGTGATGGAGACGTTGAGGATAGGGCGGTGGAACTCCGGGATTCGGACCTCCGTTCGCGGTGGTCGGTGGCGGGTCAACGGAAGAACATAGATATGGAATATGTGGTTTGGGTATAGGGGCATAGCTTTGAGAATTTGATAAGTTGCAAGGACATATTTGCAATTTTAACAATTTTATTATATTATATTTTAATTCCTGGGTTAAATATATAATTTATAAGAAATAGTAAATGTATAAAATCGATTATAGAACGCACATTAACAATACCCGAAAAGCACAATATTGTGCGACGATATACACATTAAAAAATATGTCATATTATTTTGAAATTACATAATCTATACCTTTAGAAGTTTACAAAATTTTCAATTAGCCCGTAGTACACAAAAAAATGTCAAAGCTGAGTTATCGAGTTGAGAGTTTGAAAAAAAAAAAATAAAAAAAAATGATCAATCGATTTTTTAATTAGGTATACGGTGCATTCTGACACTAAAAATTGTGCAGTTCGTATTACACTATTGTGCATTCATACTGTATTTTTACTGATTTGATCCAAACCAAACTAAGAGATAACGAAACAACCGATTTTTTTGATCGGTTTAAACAAAATATCTTAAATACTCAAACTAATTTATTATTTTAAATTATAATGATATATTAAGTATTTTAAAATTTAAATTTTATATTTAGTTTTGGTCGAATCAATAATGTGCGTTCCCACATACTATAATGTGCATTTCGTATAACATTATTGTGCAGTCTATGTTGCGGGTAATTTTTTGCGTATTTCATTTTTAGATAAATTTAATAATGTGTATTTCAAAACTAACATTAAAACTAACATTATTGCGCAGTCTAATAGCTATTAATGTGCATATTATTTAACACTATTATGCAGAATATCATTTGTGCATTATAAAAAGTGGATTTTTCCAAACTAATAACGAATTGAATTATTTTTTCAATTGGTTAAGCAACTTAACATAAATAATTCAAATAATTTATTATTTATATTATGAATTTTATTTCATACTTCAATGTTTTTTATTTATTATTTTATAATATTTAATTATTTTACAATATTTTTCAGTACTTTTATTTATTGTAAAATGTTATTTCATGTTTCAATGTTTTTTATTTATTGTTTTTATATTTTACATTATTTTCAATAATTTTATTTATTATTTTAATATATACATAAAAATATATAAAAAGTATTTTATTTTCATAGTATTTTTATAAATTATAGATTTAGCCCATGTACTAAATTGAAATACACTTAAAATTTGTGAAATTGCAATTAAGCCCTTCAACATTATTAAATTTTCAACACAAAACCCCAGAATTCTCCCTATCTTCAAGTACCCGTCGGTGACTCCATGAAACCATGGAACACACCTGACGACGGCGACGACGAGTCTCATAGAAGGGACGCGGCGGCAGCGACGGTACGAATTCAAACGGCAGTGGCGGAGGGCGGGCATTCTCAGGCGGGCTTTCTCGAGCGGCGGAGGGCGGAGGAGATGCTGGCATTCTCTGGCTGTACAACGAGCGGCACTATGGTGAAGATGGGCAGAAGCGGGCGGCACTACGGTCACATCAGTGATTCCAACGATTGACTTCCTCGTCACATCAGTGTACTCCGGCGGCATAGGACGGCGGTCCTCCTTCTATTGAAGTCGCCGGGAATCTCGGGCTCCGGACGGCCATGGAGCTGATGGCGTATGTATGGCGCCGGCGAGGGAGGTAAGCGGCGGTGCTCCGCCGTGTGTGAATGTGTGCGTGGGTGCATATTCATTGTGTGTCTGTGTGTTTGCGTCTTCAATTTTGTGTGTGTGTGTGTGTGAGAGAGAGAGAGAGAGAGGATGGGGGTTGGGTTGGATGACAGGCTGTGAATGGCGTGAGTGACGAGGGGACAGATTATTGATGATGGTGTGGGTCCCACTTAGGTCTATGTTTGAGATATTACTACATTATCCTTAATGAGTATAAAAATTGGCATTTTTTTTAGTCATTGGATCATTACGATCTAATGGTTAAGATTTATTCTTATTTCTCTCATTGAACACCTTTCTCACCGGAGCACATCCCTATATATATATATATATATGTGTGTGTGTGTGTGTGTGTGTGTGCGCCCGCGCGCATGTCAAATCGAAGCTCGTTATGAAACGATTAATTTGATATTATATATACAGTTACCTTTATAATAAGAATTAAAATATATATTAATATTAATTAACAAATAAAATTATTTATGGATAAGTTACTATGTGTATTAAACTCATTATATATTATGACTTTAAAAAAATTATCAAGTCACAAGTCTTATTTTAAATATAAATAACAATCAAAGTTTTTGAGAATGATTTAAACCATCAAATCAAAACTTTCGTTTATGTATATACGAGTATAATTTGGTGTAACACATGTGTGTCTGTGTTCTATCTATATTATAAGGACTTTTGAAGTTATAAAATGCTTTACTATCTTAGTTCATAAATATATTTAAAAGTTAATGACTTTTGTACTTGTTATTAGATTTTTGTATATAATATATCAAATAAATAATTTTATTTTCTTTTTTATAAAAGTAAGTCATCTTTAACACTAATTAAAAATTAATAAGATTATATACCAATTTTAAAAAGTATCTATTGTAAAAAATTTAACGGGCATACTCATAACTATCAGGCGGAATTGAATAAATCCTAAGCATGTAATTTTATCAGTTCATAGAATATGGATCTTTGCATAAATTAAATTGCACATAAACTTACAAGAATCCATTAGTCATTCCCTGTTTTCTTGTATGTCTGATCTTGCAGTCTGTCAATTGCCAATCGCCAAGTCTGTCAATTTCCAATGTTTCTGTTCTCTCGTTTTTGTTCTCTCTCCCGCTTCTCTCGTCTTTTCACAAAGCCCTTGATGTTGAGAACTTTATTTCGTATGAGATGGGAGAGAGGGGCATGTAGTATATATAGGAGGAGACCTACAAACCTATTCCTACTAACATTCCCCATGTTCTAACCTAACTTACTGTCCAAGTCAAACATCACAAATTGGACTCTTTAATATTAGAACATTAATAATCCATTAAATACATATTCACCGTAATTAAGTTTGACTATTAATTCAATTAGGTCCAATTAATTTATATGGTCCACAATAATATAATAATATATAAAATATTATTACATTCTCTCACTTGGACCATATAAGTGTCGAAACCCAAAGAACTACATTAAGCGCGCACCTTTCATCAAACTTATAATTGAATACATATATCTATAAGTTTAAAATTAAAATAGAAATTAACCGAGTCATGGCGGTCACAAGTCTTCGAGCGACA